GTTCACAGGTTAAGACACTTTTGCAGAAGTAATGCCAACAGACTAGACCAGCAACAAAACGTTATGTAAACACAGTATTTCTCCACCTACATCTAACCAACTGTTTATTTCAACCATTAAATACAGACTCCTAAAACAGGTACTAATTGGACTGATCTCTCGCACATTGCATTGCTCTGTGGTGAAGCATATTGCGTTGTGATTTAAGGAATAGGTCTCTCCCAGGCTAGCTGAGGCTAAGAGTAGTGTGGCTGAAGAACTTGCAGACTGCCCTCCATCACCACCTGCTGCTACGGTGTAGAGCTACAGCGTCAGATGAAGCTGTCATCCTGGACTACAGGGTTATTTTATGAGGCAGCTATTGAAGCACCTGAGGAGACTGAGAAGCTGAGAGGAGACTCAGGTATACAGACATTCTGGAATAATTTCTATATTTAAAAAAAAGTCTCTGCACTTTCTGGATGGAGAAGGGAAGGCTGGTTCTCAGTTATGCAGTGGAGGCATAGAGCTCCTGGCACTCAGGCAACTGAGCCCACAATATGAAATGGTGGTAGCAGTGCTCCGAGCCTCCTTATTTGAAGGGAGAAAATACTTTTTTCCTTCCCCCGGGCCAAAGAAGTGGTGGTGATAGTGAAGGCAGACACTATCCAGACCCCTCTTTGCCCCTTTCCCTCCCAAGTCCAGTAGTATCTGAGAGAGCTAAGTAGCTGTGACCCAGATCCTCAAAGGTATTTAGGCTCCTAACTGGCACTGGTTTCAGTGCAGGTTAGGAGCCTAAATACCTTTGAGGATCTGGGCCTGTATGACTGATGAATAATAGTAGCCTGGTGTTCAGAAGTGCTGAACACAACCAACTCCAACTGAAATCAGTGCAGTTACACCAGGGATGAATCCAGCCCAGGGGGTGTAATAGCATTCTTCCTTTAGCAGACTTTGGGTCTATTAAATACAAGTAGCAATAGAATAGCCAGATTGAGTACACTCTGTTGCTAGATATACCGCTTTGCAATGTTTACGTTCTGTTTATATGTATAGGTATTTATATTGCATTCCCTCTTTATTCTTGGACTTCATTAAAAGGCTTATTCTCCTCTGTTGACAGAGTCTCATTAAATAATACTCATATAAATTTCTCTCATTATTTTCCAGTTATTTAAACCCTTATGTTTGTTCTCTCTCTACTTCCTTGATGTGTAGGCACTTGGCACTGAACTGTTAACTAGAAGTCTCTAGTCTTAGCTCCATTTGACAGAAAATCCACATAACCTCAAGGGCATTCACCTCTTTAAAGTCTCAGGATGGAGTTTTATGTCAGGTTAATTATGTTATTCTTTACAATTTGACACAAGGAGTCAGAACTTATCCAGAATAAACACAAATAGGTTGAATGACCAGATTAAATTTCTAATTAGCATAGAATTAGATTCTTTTTATATGGATCTGTCAATCATCTCCACATAAAAATGACATTTACTCTTATTTAACTCTGTTTTTTCTTACTACCTTTGGGATAGCATACTTTATTTTCTAAACCTTATTTATCATACATGGAACATCTATATTTAAATGTGCCATTAGGAACACAATATTGGTTCAGAGACTGCAGAAATTATACCCTATAAATGAAGCATGTCAAAAATTCTTTCCATTATTAAAATTGAATGGTGACCAAATTGTCTTGCCTTAGTTAAGAGATCACAAGAATTTTCATTTTAAACTTTTATTTTCAAGGGTTTATAAAACTTTGCTCTGGGGCTAAATTTTTGACATTTTATTGCAAGTAGGACCTCTGTTAGCCATTAGGGGGCAGAGTGGGGATGGAAGTTGTATGATGGAAGTTTCTGTTCTAGCTAATTTTCTTTTCCAGATGTAAATTATGAGCCTGGAAAACTTAATCCATATGAAAAGATATGGTTGCCCACCAGTCTATTATTTATAATGCATTCCTACTTTTTCACTTCTCCCATGTTATTTATTGTACAGACTGAAAATGATTTTGGATTAAAAATGATCTTTCAGATTCTTATACATCAACAGTGGTACCTAGAGTCAAGACTTCTTATTTTAAGCAGTACAATGATCCACCTCAGACTGTCCCAATCATTTACAAGTTTTCATGAATGTTATAGGAAGATCTCAGAGACCAAACCTTATAGGTTCCATCTTCATAACTTGACAGTAACACTCCTTATTGAAGCCCACTTCCTTTCCTGTGGGATAAACTGTGTAGTTATGCGGGAGTAAGTGCCATATAAGCCCGGTCAGCTCCAAGCAGGCCAATCTTCAAAGGCCCGGGCCTAGTGTTGAGGGACTTTATGGTTGTTCTGCAGTAGGCAGAATAGAGCTGTTCACAGAAGAAAGAAGCTCATGCTGGTCTCTGATCAAATGAAGCACACAACAGACCTTCCTTTGAAGTCAATGGCACTTAACCAAGTTAATAATGGTACAGGGAGCAGCTCTGACTTTATTGTACCAAGATCTATCAAATAATAAGATTACATCTACAACATGCATTTGATGTCGCGGAAATAAAGTAATTATAATTGAACATCCAAGAATATCTTTTTGACATTTATTTCACAGGTGTTTTGGGCTCAGCTCTTGTGTAGCACCAGCAGGAGTCCATTATCCTGTGGCAATGTTCTCTTCCCTTGACATTATCTTTTAAATACATAATGTAGCACCAGCCTCTTTTATCAATAGACTGACAACTAAGTGAGATTTGAGGATGAAACCAAGAAGAATACAAGTCAAGATAAAATTGAGAACACAAGTAAAAAAAGTTTTAATTTATTTTTCTTTGGATGAAACTCAGACTACTTAGGACATTCACTCCCAACAGAAGAAAATAGGAAAGATGCTCCCATTAATTTGTGTTACTAAAGTACATTATGTACTTTAAAGGACATAAAGTAAAGTACAAACAGCCATGGGTAAGTAAACTAATAACTCATCAAAAGTTGTGCATTTATAAAGGTTACATACCTTTTTGGGTGCTATTGCAATATTGTTAACCTCAAGCATTCAAATATGAGTCAGGCCTCATAAAATTTCGATTAGCTAAAAGATGAGATTTACGTATAAAAAAACTGGATTCTTTTCCTTTGCTTTCTGGTTTCTGAGCCTCTAGGGTGCCTTAGAGCAGTGCTTCTCAAAGCCGGTCCGCTGTTTGTGCAGGGAAAGCCCTGACGGGCCGGGCCGGTTTGTTTACCTTACCTGCTGCGGGGGCTGCGGGAAGGGAGGCCAGCACATCCCTCAGCCCACGCCGCGTCCCACAGCCCCCATTGGCCCGGAACGGAGAACCGCAGCCAGTGGGAGCCACGATCAGCTGAACCTGCGGATGCAGCAGATAAACAAACCGGCCCGGACCGCCAGGGGCTTTCCCTGAACAAGCGGCGGACCAGCTTTGAGAAGCACTGCCTTAGAGCACGTTATCAAGGATTTTATGCAACTATGAGGTCCAGGAATGTTTTTAAAGGATGAAAGCTGAAAATCTCATGTAATCACATGACTCCAGGAGTTGAGGCTTTAAGAACAGTACCAAATCTCATGAGACTGCTGCTATGAGCCACCACGGTATAAAGCCACAAGATAAAACTCTTTTTCTAATCTGAGAAGTATAGGTTTCTTCTATCAATGTTGGCAATCCAAAGTGTTCAACAATCATGAATCAGGCCTCCAAAAATAATGAGATTGGCTTAAAATAATGAGATATTTAAAAAAATATCTTGCATCTGAAGAAGTGAGGTTCTTACCCACGAAAGCTTATGCTCCCAATACTTCTGTTAGCCTCAAAGGTGCCACAGGACCCTCTGTTGCTTTTTAAAAAAATAAATATTTTTTTTTTGGAAATCTACAATTAATTTGTATTAAACACTCGGCACAGTAATCAATCAACAATAATTTATATAAAGCACAATCTCCATTTTGCATAGCATTGAAACCGAGAGTAGTCACTCTGCTGTTTGGGAAAACTGCGAATATAGAGACAATGGAGGGTAGGAAGACAGCACTGCATTGGTTACACTCACTTCGTGTTCAGAAGGTTATCTTTGTCACATTCAGGGCTGGCAACAATTTTATGTGAATTAATACTTAAGAATTAATACATAAGGCTTAGAATACCATTTGCCAAAGAAAGTTTTCTAATTGCCAGTGGTGAATGGATGTTGCTAGGTGGACAGGCAGAGGGTATAATTTGGATTAGGCCAGCCCCTATAGGCCTATTTCCTGGTTTAGATTTGAATGGAAATGACATTTTAAGAATACAGAGGCTCTTGTGAGTTTTCTGTCATTTGGTGCAAAAATAGTGCAAGAACAAACTGTATGATTTCAGAGCTGTCAAACCCGCCCCTAGTCCTGATTCATTCCCAAACTCAACCTTGAGCTCTATGCCTAACTGTACTGTCTGGTTGGCCCATCTCTATTACTTTCACATTTGTTCTGTGTTTCATCTGAAGACATAATACAATTATTTTTAAAGAAGTTTTTAAAAATTAGAACCACAAGGGGATTAAACTTCTGAAGCAACTGTTAACACATGCCTATGAATGAACCATGTCTGTCTGCATAGGTCACCCCCCGATGGGCACTGGGTTCGAACCCACGCATTTTCAGGAGCAAACCTAAAAGCCTCTACAGAGGTGCTGGAACCATTTATTATAATGTGAGTCCTGCACGCCATTGAACAACACTGTAACTCATTCATTGCTATGATTACTTAAAGCCAGGGGGTGCTGGGGGGGGCACCCCCAGCACCCATAGCTCAAGCGCCCCTGGAGCCCCTTTTTTGCATGGAGAGAATCATGAAGAAATAAGGGAAGGGGGAAAACACCGTGAAGAAAATGGGCTTAGTGATGGGGGTGCTGATTCTTGCTTTGTAGAGTAGAAGCAGGAAGCGCATGGGCTCTGTGCAGGGAGAACGAATGTGACTGTGGGAGCGATAGAAGCAGAGAGGGGGTGAGTGGGCGGCGGAGGAGTGAGAATGGAGGGAACGGCGAGAGGGGGAAGCGCGGGGGGATCACTCCCGCCCCCCTGCCAGCCGCACCGGTCTCTTCCCGGTGTGTGGGGCTGAGGCGGCTCTGAACCTGCCCTCGCCAAGAGGCCCGGCCCCGCGCCTGCTCCTCTTTCCCCCAGGCCGGACCTCGGTCGCGGTAAAAGCCGCTCAAGTATCTGGAGGCCGCTGTGGGGATCCCCGGGCTCCTTTGGGGGCTCTTCCCACAGCCCGGCTGGCCGGGGAAGGGGCAGAGGGGCGGGGCCTCGTGCCCCCCGCCCCCCTCCCATAGCGAGGTTCCGGCGCTGGGCAGCGCGTGTGTGTAGCAGCGCTCCGGGAAGGCAGCAGCAGATTGGACAGTCGCGCTCCCCACATGAGGTGCCTCCCCTCGGTGGCTCTGTTCCCTTCCAGGGCGGTAGCGGCAGCGGCGGGAGGAGGAGGAGGGGCTACAGCCCTGCGCCGGGGGCTTCCCCTCTCCCAGTCGCGGCAGCGCCCCAGCTGGGCGCACCCCGGGAGCGGGCAGAGCGCCCCGTGTCTCCCTTCCCAGCCCGGCGGGCAGATGTTACCACCCACTTGAACCGGAACCTTTTTTGCAAAGGCAGCCTCGGGCTGCTCGCTGCTGAGGAGGCTGCGGTGCCGCCGCCGCTGCTGTGTGCGCCGGGGGAGTGGATCCAGCCCGCTTATTGGGAGGTGGAGGAGGAGCGCGGTAGCTCCGCCGCTGGCAATGGGGCTGTGCATGCACCGGGCTTAGCCTGCTTGTGCAGTACATGCCAGGGCAGGATGATTTAGCTGCTGCGCCCTCCGCTCGGCTGGACGTGCTTGGGGCAAGGCTTCTTGAATGAGCCGCTGTGGGGATCAGCCGGGGAGTGCGGCTGGAGGGAGCAGCAGCAGCCGCCACCGCCTCTTCCTCTCCTGCTTGTTGTTTTCTCCGCTGCTGCCCATGGCTTCTCGCCACCGCTGGTGACGGGCTCCCCCTGCATCCTCCCGCGCCTGGCCCGGCGGCGAAGGAAGATGGGGAACACCACCTCCTGCTGCGTCTCCTCCAGCCCGAAGCTACGCAGGAATGCCCACTCCCGGCTGGAGTCCTACCGCCCGGAGCCCGAGCTGAGCCGCGAGGACACGGGCTGCAACCTGCAGCACATCAGCGACCGGGAGAACATAGATGGTAAGAGAGGTGTGGGGGCTGCTGGGATGGGGAGCTCCCCGCAGCTAGGGCAGCCGGGGAAATCCCCCTACAGCCCTCCTGGGCTGGGGAAATCCCCTCTATCTCCAGCCATAGAGGCAGCCCCCAGGGAAATGCATCCCCCCAACAAGCACAGAAAGAGCCAAGTGGGGGAACTCTCTGCTGTCCTGCTCAAAGAGGGGAAACATGGAAACCCCCAACCCTCCCTCCCCAAACACCGTGGGAGCTCCCATCGCCTCTTCCTAGCCTCTCAGTGTTTAATCACTTCTATCCCTTGGGGAATCTACTCTCTCCCCTCCTCTTCCAGGTTTTTTTTCTGGCTCTTTTGGTGATTGGAGAATATATGATGAGACAGAAGGTTTGTTTGGGTTTTTTATGCCTTCATCCACAATTTCGAGGCTTTTGGGTGCCCCATACCTGTATATCACAATGCAGCATTATTTACCCCATACCAATATGTCATGATGTAGCTCTGTTTATCCCCACCGGTACCCCTTAACCTTTGTGTGGATTCCACCTCCCCCTGTATGTGGTTCACAGTGTTGGGATCTTGTGTGGATTCTTGCCATGTACATTGTGATATGGCATTATTTATCTGCCCTTTCCTCTGATTTGAGGCCTTTATAGTTCTCCCACCTTAGTATTGATTGAAAGCCTGGAGTGGTATTTACCTCAGGCCTTACTTTCAAGATCTTAGTGTGTATTTGCCCCCTCACCCGGCATGGACTGATGTGACTGTTTACACTGCTCCACAGCTTCCAGACCCAATCCACTCAAGTATTTGAATTTCACAAGTGAATTTTTGCCCACCCAAATTTCCTGAACAAAGATGGTCTGTGGACTCAACTGTTGTTATGGGTTAATGGTCATCTGTTGCTATGTGTATGCCAAAGCCAATCCTAGTTGGAGGATAAAACATAAAGGATAAACCCAGATACTTATGGAAGTGGGAGAAATTTATCTTGTAATGACCTTCAGTACCAGTCACTTATTTCCTTCCATTACACTGATGATGAAGCATTGGTATAATAGAATGATGAATGTTCTCTCTCTATAGTATTATTGGAAAAACTATAGTCTCATTGACTCAGTAATGACCAAACATCCTTTTGTGTGCTCTGGTTAATTAGAACTCAGCCTATTCTTAAGTGTGATTTTAATGTAGAAGTATAAACTAGTTTCTGATTAGCTGAAATAGTTAGTCCTAAAACTTAACTGGTAAAACATCAACTTTTTCATAGTTTGACGTGAATTGCCTTTGGTAGAAAGCCAAGAAATTCACATTGGCACACACTAGATTTTTTTCAACATTTTTTTCATAGCTTATGTGATCAATTGCAAACTTTGTTTTAAACCAGTTCTCACCATTGGCTAAAACGAAATTCTTAATAATAGAGTAACTTTACCTCAGGTTATGATTATTTCTTTTAATTAAGTTACATGCTGGAATTGTGACTGTTACCTTTAAGACATTTTTGTTTCCACAGTAGAAAAATTGGACTGTAATGGGATCAATGGGTGGAAAAAAATTTATAATGGCCAGGTTTGAGAAAACGGGGGGAGATTTAAGAACTAGTTGTTAACCTGTGAATGACTGATGCTTGTCACACCAGTGTTGTCCAGATTAGCAGTAAACACCTTTTCCCATGATGATACGGATAATATCTAGTCCTGTTTCACATCAGTAGGAACAGGTCTTGCTCTATAGTTCTAAGTGAGAGGTTTGGGTTTTTTTGGGGGGTGAGGAGCTGTTCTTTATAGTGTGGTGACAATACAAAAAATTCTAAATGTCTTTCCTTGTAAACTTACTTTTCGCCAAGAATTCTCTTCATGGTTTGGTTAGACCAGTGGCTCTAAACCTTTCCAGAGTACTATACCCCTTTGAGGAGTCTGATTTGTCTTGTATACCAGAAGTTTCACCTCACTTAAAATATGCTTTCTCACAAAATTAGACATAAAAATACACACGTGTCACAGCACACTATTAATGAAAAATAGCTTTTTCTAATTTTTACCATATAATTATAAAATAAATCAATTGGTATATAAATATTGTACTTACATTTCAGTGAATAGTATATAGAGCAGTATAAACAAGTCGTATGAAATTTTAACTTGTTATGACTTTGCTACTGCTTTTTATATAACCTGTTGTAAAACTAGGCAAATATGTAGATGAGTTGATGTATCCCCTGAAAGACCTCTGTGTCGTCCCCCCTCCCCCCCCCCCCCCCCCGACTGGGTACACATAACCTGCTTGAGAACCGATGGGTTAAACTAATTTTCAGATCAGTAACAGTACTCCATGAATGGAAGCACTGATGGGACATGTGTGCATGTTGTCTCTGTCCTAATAAATTCTTGTCAGTTAAAGGACCCTGTGCTTTACCAGTGGAACATACAAAATAAATACTATCTATCTTTGTTCAATCAGGCTCAGCACTGTGGCAAATGAAGTTAAGTTCTCAGGTGAGGGAGTTGCCTTCAACTCTGAGAGCATATAACAAATTTTGTGGTTTGTTTCCCTTGCCTTGCTGTTTGCTCAAATCTTGCTCCTCGCTATGATACTGATTAGGTATAGGGTCAGAGGCATCAGTTTTCATTGAGGAGATTGATGAAGAATGAGTTAGTGTTTCTTCATTGAACACAATTGAGGATATTATGGGTAAAACAAATAATTTGAAATACTCACTTTTGCATATCTGTTGTGTTGCAGTCAGATCCACTGGAGGTCTTTGGTCAAAGATGATAGACTGATTACAAAATGTAATAAGACTATTCTGTTTCTGAAATCTTATTTCCTGAGACTGGGTACATTTTTGTTTTTAGATTGCTTGAAACTATATGGCAAACATATGCCTATGGTGACACAATGGGGGGGGGGACAACAAATAGTGCACTGTAATAATATTTCTACTGTTTTTCAATAACTTGAAAATATTTTACATGAAACAGTGAAGGAACAACACTGGTCAATTCTTTTCACAAAAAAAAAGAGAGAATATTAGGTCTTGATACTTCAAGCATCCTACAAAATATCTAAAATCCATGAAATATTCTTGAGAGCTATTTAGCTCTCCAAGAATTGGATATTTATTTGAAAAAACAAACTGGTGGTATCACTGTAAATAAACAATTTGGATACTTATGCCACTTTGGTTTTTTTTAACCTGTGTTTCTCACTACCTGTTACTGCAGCGAGAACATCACTGTCAGATACAGTTCAAGTTCTGGAAATGCTAATTCACTAGCACTTTTTTCTTTTTTCCTCTCACACAAGTACTGATTATAAATTGTGCTTTCAGGAATTACACATTGTGGTGAGTAGAATTAGTTGTTGTTGTCCTCTACCTTCAAGTCTGCCTTCAGTCCTCTTGTGTTAATCGAGATTTATAGAACTCTAGCTTTTAGGATTGGGCAAAGCAACTTTCGTAAAATAAAACTACCCTAAACCTTCTCCCATCCTTAAACCAATCTTAATTTGTTACTAAGGTTTGAAAAATGTAATGTCTTACCTGTCTGTTCCCTGCATCATTGCATGCTCTGTTCCAAGGCAGGATCAGAATGGCAATGCTGAAATACAGTGAGAGAACTGATTATTGTGGCATTTCCAGGCTAAGTAGAAGCTATGGATATCTTGTGAAAGAGATTCTCCTCTTATAGTTCCCAGGCTAATTTTGTTGAAGAAACTGGTTCCAGTAAATAAATGAACTCGAGAGCCTGTGCAAACAGAACCTTTTGAGGTTTGCTAGTCGTTCTGTGCTTTGTACTGAAACCATTGCAAATGCTGTCATGAAGAGAGGTACCAGTGAATTGCAATTACAGGATCTGATCATGCAGTTCTTGAAGGGGAGGGGACTCTCATTTCTTAAATGGAAGTTCTGCCTCAGCAAGGAATGTAGGATTGGGCCAACAGTTATACCTGCCTGATGCCATGTTGTCAAAAAGCATCATTTTTGTAAGATATCAGGAACTCTTCGTGTCTGTAAGTGAAGGGAATTCTGGAAATGTTTGAGTGGGAACAAACTTCTTTCAGAGACTTCCAAGTTAGAAGGCTAAACTCCTGTTCTGAATGTTTTTTCTGGTTGATGGCCATGTGGAAATGCTTCAAGAATCACCTTTTTGATTATCAGTCAACAACACATTTTTCTGAAAAGTTGGATCCATTGGGTTTCACTGATAATTAGACCATTATCTTCAGGCATAGACAGAAGCAGTAAAGATAACTGGTTATCTGCTTTGCTGCTATATTCTGCCCAGAAGCAAAAGAGGAATTCTAATTGGAGCTCAGAGGATGCCCACTCGTTTTAGTGACTGATTGCTCATAGAAACTTTTAAAGTTTATGAAATGGTTTAAACTTTAAAATCTTACTTCCGGAAAGTTGTGACAATAGGCTGAGGATTTCTTAATGAATTTGGATGACCCACTTTTCTATCTGTTGCTCATCAAGAGACTTATCTAGCAGTATCCTGGCTACAAATATAAGATAAAACAGTAGATCACTTAATGTGTCAATCTGGTAAATTGCTGTTATTACTTAGATGACCTGATTTTTTTTTTAAACCCAGTCTTTTGCTAGACACTTTGTCCACTTTAAAATTGTTGTAATATTTGGTTATTGGTCTGATTAAGACACGTGGGCTGGATCGTTTATTCCATTTGGACACGGGGGTTCTGGATTTGAAAATCACACAGAATGGACTCTGTAAGGGGCTCAGGTGTGTTGGTGATAGGTGCTGTTATAAAAGCTAGCTCGATAAAGGACATTTAGATTAGATTGACAGTGGTCCAGAATCTAGACTACGTTTATACATGATGTCAGCATGTCTGTTGTCACACAGTCCGATCCGCTGATTTGAAAAAAGTGGCTCTCAGACTTGATTTTCCTGTGTGGCATAGATTTTTTCCACAGTAGGCTCTTTGTGAGAGCTTTGGTGGAGAGAGGATAACCTCACAGGATATATGGTATGAGACCACTGTC